TTAAAGGTTAAAGCCCTGAGGATTTGTTAAGGGCAGGTGCATGCTTTCCTTTCTCTTGATGAAATTGGACCATGTTTTTGTGAGTGTGTGTGAGATATAGAATGAGAGTGAAGCACAAGGCGACGTGTTAAATGAGTGAAGGCCACAGTCAGGGTTGCCAGCTGGCCCCCTTCTCACATTTAACACCACAGATACAGCTCTGATTTTCTATGCATGCTTGGGATTGCACGTGAATTTTCAGTATTTCCATTTGTTGATGACCACTGGCAAAGTTCCATACTGGAGGGTTCATGAAAATAAACTCTTTGTGAAGATAAGTGTATCAGTCAGTGAAATGTTTTTTTTTTTAAATTGAGTTAACCATTACAAGAAACTTTAAGATAAACTTAGAGATCAATATTAAGTAATACTGCTAATATATATTTGTACTTGTTTTGTCTGTACTTGTGAGGACCAAATGTCCTCACTTATATTGTGAAATACTGACAACCCACTAGTGAGGACATTTTAATGGTCCTCACTAGTTTAAAAGGCATTTCAATCAGCCAAGATGTGTTTTTATTTAAATCTAGTGGTCTGCACATGTTTCTGTGATCAGTAAGTTTAGGGTTGGTGATAGAAAATGCCATTAACCGGATAGAAAATCAGTGGAAGTCTCTGCAATGTTTTTATATTGTACATTTTTAATGTGAATTTTTTATTTAGTGCAATATTTTGTCATTGCAACATTTTAGTGTAATTTTCACTAGCAACTGCAATTGGATTTATATTGTAAACCTAAGTTTACTGTTATCCCACCGGTCACTATTGTGACCATCAATATGTTTACTCATTCTATGACCACACTCAACAAAACTGAATTTATGTGAATTCATATATTAATACTAGACACCTTAAAGGGGTCATATGACGTTGCTAAAAAGAACATTATTTGGTGTAATGAAATGTGTTTATGCTGTTTAAAGTAAAAAAAACTAATTATTTTCAACATACTGTACATTATTGTTTCTCCTCTATGCCCCGCCTTTCTGAAACACGTCGATTTTTACAAAGCTCAATGGTCCTGAAAAGCGAGGTGTGCTGTGATTGGCCAGCTATCCAGTGCGTTGTGATTGGCTGAATACCTCAAGCGTGTGACAGAAATGTTATGCCCCTTACCATACTGTAATGCCCTGTCCGGCCGGAGCGATTATTCAAAAACATGAAAACCCATTACAAACGAGGCATTTGTTGCATCCAGTGGGTACATTACGGATTATAATGACTTATACTGTCTTTTTACGTGTTGCGTTGCATCACGCCGTGTAAACATAAAACCATGACTGCATTTGTGATTGGAGAAATGACAAACAAGCGCTACTCTACACTGCTCAAAACTTGCGTTTGAATCGTCAGTGGCAAATCCTTTAAATGAAAACATACTTACAGGCTGTGAGTCAGAACAGCCGGCATTGTAGTCTACTCTCCCAGGATCAGGAAACAGTCCTCCATAAAATGCGCTGCACACATCTGAATATTTGGGTTGAACTGTTCTGGAACAGTGTTGTAAATACAACTTAACCACTGATTTCTAGTCGTGTCCTCTTTTGGAAGGCCAAACAAAGTA